TTCTTTGCTAACTCTTTCTTTGACGAACTCTTTCCCTCACTAACTCTTTCTTTGACTAACTCTTTCCCTCACTAACTCTTGGTTTGACTAACTCTTTCCCTGACGAACTCTTTTTTTGCTAACTCTTTCCCTCACTAACTCTTTCCCTCACTAACTCTTTCTTTGACTAACTCTTTCCCTGACTAACTCTTTCTTTGCTAACTCTTTCTTTGACTAACTCTTTCCCTCACTAAGTCTTTCTTTGACTAACTCTTTCCCTCACTAACTCTTGGTTTGACGAACTCTTTCCCTGACGAACTCTTTCTTTGCTAACTCTTTCTTTGACTAACTCTTTCCCTCACTAACTCTTTCCCTCACTAACTCTTTCCCTCACTAACTCTTTCCCTGACGAACTCTTTCTTTGCTAACTCTTTCTTTGACTAACTCTTTCCCTGACATTCTAAAAGTCCGTAACACGGAAGTTTCTCCCCCTAAACTTCCTTTGACTATTGTCTTTTGCAGCTGGACTTTGTAAATCGTATTGGAGTGGCTGCATGAAGGCTGCGACAGTGATTTGTCAGCAGATTTTCTCCATTTTGGCGCTAGTGATTTTCCTTCTAAAAATCCTTTTAAAAAGTGCTTCAAAATCGTCTTTTTTTTCGCTCTGGCGTCGAGATCCGGTTTTGGAGCTACAATTTCCGATGCCATTGCGCGTAGTTCTCTTGTGCTTTGCAACTCAGTCTCCGCAGATCGCATTGGAATGGCTGCGTCAAGGTTGCTTCTTGCTTTGGCTGCATGCGTAATGTCTTTTGCAGCTGGATCTCGTACATCGTCTTGGACTGGCTGCATGAAGGCTGCGAAATGGATTTGTTAGCAGGTTTTCTCCATTTTGGCGCTAGTGTTTTTTTGTTGCACGTAGGTTTAGAGCAGTGTGAAGTGTGGGGCGTGAAGAGTGCAGTGTGAAGTGTGCAGTGTGAAGGAAGCAGTGGGAAGTGAGAAGTGTGAAGGAAGCAGTGGGAAGTGAGAAGTGTGAAGTGTGGAGTGTGAAGTTTAAGTTTGGAGTGCGAAGAGCGCAGTGTGAAGTGTGAAGTGTGAAGTGTGAGGTTTGGAGTGTGAAGGAAGCAGTGAGAAGTGTGAAGTGTGGACTGTGAAGTGTGAAGTGTGAGTGAAGTGTGGAGTGTGAAGTGCGAAGTGAGAAGTGTGAAGTGTGAAGTTTGGAGTGTGAAGTTTGGAGTGGGAAGGAAGCAGTGAGAAGTGAGAAGTGTGGACTGTGAAGTTTGGAGTGTGAAGGAAGCAGTGAGAAGTGAGAAGTGTGAAGTGAGAAGTGTGAAGTGTGGACTGTGAAGTGTGGAGTGCGAAGAGCGCAGCGTGAAGTGTGAAGTGTGAAGTGTGATGTTTGGAGTGTGAAGGAAGCAGTGCGAAGTGTGAAGTGTGGACTGTGAAGTGTGAAGTCTGAGTGAAGTGTGGAGTGTGAAGTGCGAAGTGAGAAGTGTGAAGTGTGAAGTTTGGAGTGTGAAGTTTGGAGTGGAAAGGAAGCAGTGAGAAGTGAGAAGTGTGAAGTGTGGACTGTGAAGTGTGGAGTGTGAAGTGCGAAGTGAGAAGTGTGAAGTTTGGAGTGTGAAGGAAGCAGTGAGAAGTGAGAAGTGTGAAGTGAGAAGTGTGAAGTGTGGACTGTGAAGCGTGGAGTGCGAAGAGCGCAGCGTGAAGTGTGAAGTGTGAGGTTTGGAGTGTGAAGGAAGCAGTGAGAAGTGTGAAGTGTGGACTGTGAAGTGTGAAGTGTGAGTGAAGTGTGGAGTGTGAAGTGCGAAGTGAGAAGTGTGAAGTGTGAAGTTTGGAGTGTGAAGTTTGGAGTGGGAAGGCAGCAGTGAGAAGTGAGAAGTGTGAAGTGTGGACTGTGAAGTGTGGAGTGTGAAGTGCGAAGTGAGAAGTGTGAAGTTTGGAGTGTGAAGGAAGCAGTGAGAAGTGAGAAGTGTGAATTGAGAAGTGTGAAATGTGGAGTGTGAAGTGTGAAGTGTGAAGTGCGAAGTGAGAAGTGTGGACTGTGAAGTGTGAAGTGTGAAGTGTGGACTGTGAAGTGTGAAGTGTGAAGTGTGGAGTGTGAAGTGTGAAGTGTGCAGTGTGAAGTGTGAAGTGTGAGGTTTGGAGTGTGAAGGAAGCAGTGAGAAGTGAGAAGTGTGGAGTGTGAAGTGTGGAGTGTGAAGTTTGAAGTTTGGAGTGCGAAGAGTGCAGTGTGCAGTGTGCAGTGTGAGGTGTGGAGTGTCGAGGGAAGGACACGGTCGGGACAGGTTGTCTTTGAACTATAGGTCATTTATGTTTGGGAAACTTCCGCCGCCGGCTTGCCCGGGTCTATGTTACATGTCTCTTCTGCATAGTATATCATAGTATGACATGCTCGACATGGCAACAAGAAATGGTGTCACGCTTATAACAAGCCCGATTTGCATGCCAGTGCAAATTGGAGATTCCGTGAATGCATTGGAATCGGAGAGAAAAAAAAACTACTCTTCTCAATCTGCAGGGTTCCCTCAACAGTTCGAGTCCGAATTTCCACATTTCGGAAGTTATATGCTCACATACGTTCCTTCGTGCCCAAATGCAGTCAAGCTTCATTCTTGCAAAAAACGCTCGGGCAGCAGACGGTGACGAAACCGTCATCCATGCAGCTATCAGTACATCCCTGCCAGGAAATGCTGCACTGCTTGCCTTTGAGCTGAAACACAGCAGTCACAGCAGTCACAGCAGTGCAGGGCCTGAAGGAGGACTGCTGCACCACTAAGAAAAACCTCAGGACGGCATCGCCTACAGAGTACCCTGCAGTTCCTGAGGCCCCTGGGTCCAGTGAAGACTGCACATTGGTTCCCTCACAGTAACCACATGCCAGGGCCCTAACTCCAATGCTGAACCGAGACAAAAATCGGCTACGCATGGAACTGCACCTGTTGCGTCGCCAACGACAGCTTCGAAAAGAAAGTTGACGAAACTCCAAAAGTCATGAACCGGGGTAGGTCCCGCAAACAGGCGCGGAAGGCCGCACAGCCGGAGCGCAGCTTCTATGTGTCACCAGCCATGTTTCCGGCTTGAGCCGTCACGTTGGATGAGGCCGTGAAATTTTCGTGGTTGCCAAAATAATCCCACCGCCCTCCCAAAATGGATCCAATACTAACCCAGGGCTTCTGGGTTGATTACAGCCCCATGGAGTCAAATTGTCTACCTGCATGACTCTGGTGAAATGGCACGTTCGCAGACAAGAAGGCAAGCTGTGCAGAATGGCGGTACCCAAGTCTCATGAAGTCGTGGTTCTGCTGAAACTCGGGTTTTTTGAATGCTTCCTGCAAGCCATTGAGGACGACCATCCCAGTGAGAACCACAAGCTCTTGGTCCACAAGCTCACCATCAGGATCAGTTCCATTCCCACAAGGGGTTCATCTGCAATCAACCCCTGATGCTGCTAGATCTTTGTCCCTTAGTCCCTCCATCACGCAGCCCACCAAAAGGGCGGCTCCAGCATATCAAAGACACCCTTCAGGTCTCCACCAAATCCATACTTTGGTAAAACCTTGCTTTGCACCTGCAGAGGGTGGTTTGTTTCTACCCTTCAGCTGTCGCCATGTCGGGAGCTGGAACTCCCAGTATCCACAACGCAGGATCTGAGCTGGCCACAGAAAGGAACAGTTCTTGCCGCAAGAGGATCAGCTTGGGATCCTTCCACCACAACTGGGTTCAAGGAAACTTCTTGCAGCAAATCATCATGTTTGCAATCCCAGCAAGTAGTTGTCCTACAATTTTCCCTTCAACCCATTCTGGAAAGAGAACATCAACCAGCAAAAATGAGGAGATTCGAAAAACATGAGGAGAGCGAAATGTGTCCAGCAACAGCCCCTGCTACGGCTGCTACAGCTGTTGCGGGCTCGTCCTTTCTGTGAAAGTTCTCCAGGTTGTCAAGCCTGGACCAAGCCAACTCTGCGATCATACCCAGTCCAGGAGTTACTATAAAGTGATTATAGTTGTTCTATAATTGAGTGGAATGTGTATCCCAAATTCATTCTTTCGTCCACAAATAAAGTAGTCATGCCCCAAATTGCTCATTGGGAAAATGGTGAAGAAGCACTAAATTTGGGCTACACGTGCCATTTTTGGACGAGGATATATCCCCGTCAAGACACGGATTTGGAAGGAAAAATCACAGGAAAGCCTCCAGGAAAAAGCGTAACTCTTGATTTCCCAACAAAACAAGCCATCACGAAGATCAAGAGGTTTAGAATGTTTCATATATCATATTGATCATCATTAACCATCATTAACGATTAATATGAACCATTAATATTAACCATTAATATTAACCATCAATATTAACCATCATCATCCCACATGTTCAGCCAATGTTCAGCTTCCGTTCGCCTCTGTTGAAATTGTGGTTCCGAAAATCCGGCATAGAGATCTCGCTGCATCGACACAGCCTCCTGGATGCTGAGATCATGTACGCCTGCAAGGCACAAGGGAATTATGGTGTCAAATTAACTGGTTCAACATGTTTTAACTATCCAAAATTGGGATTTGACTAGGAAAATTCTGATAGAAGGTTGGGTTCAAATGGATACAAAATGGGATCATATGGGTATTGTTCAAAGTTACAAAGCAGAAAAATTGGCTTCTTGCCAAGGAATCAACAAATATCTGGGTCCCTTAGTACAAGTAAAGTACAATCTTCTTGAACCAAATCCAAAGGTGCCTGCTTCTTCTGGCTGATCTTCATCCACCTCCACTTCATCCTGCGATATTGTTCACTTGGAATGCCCATTAATGGTGAAACTTAGCAATCCCCATTCATTGTTGTGAAAATCAGTGAAAAGAAGATACGTTTACAGTTTACTGGTTAAAATCCCCTGACTGCAAGAGACCTTGAAAACTGTTCATCCCATTCCAAATGAATTACAGTATCTTCGAATCACGGCAAAATCACACAGAGATGGTCACTTTTTGTCGTTGGTTCAAAGCATTCTACCACCATCCACCAGCTGAGCAGCTGAGTCGGCAACATCAACGTTATTGGCCCCAGCCCACAGCCCCGCAGTTTAGTTGCTGGCTTGGATAGTCTCTTCTACTCTACTCTTCTCTTTTACTGTTCTCTCTTCTGTGTGAGTCAAATTGAGTCAAGCTATTGAGAAGCCATACCTATGAGTTTCTATCTCAAAAAGAATGTCTCAAAAACATGTGTGCCCCTGCAAGGTGTTAGAAAAATCAATGCCACAAACAATTGATTCATCCAGTAAGAATGACATGTATATCATGGACTTCCCAACGGCACACCGTTTGCGGCACAAGAAGACAGCCGCGGCACAAGTTACCACCCTGACCCTGTACATCCAGTCCTGGCTCCGCCCCAAAAGGCCCTTGATGGCCGAAGCAGTGCTGGAAGTGCTCGCCTGTGGAAATTGCAGTGCCAACAAAAGCCAGAGCTGTTAAGCAAGAAGCCTAAATAAAAATATAACTTTAGCATACTTTACCTATAAAAATGAGGATTTAGAAAATGTAAAGAATTGATTTTGGAGAAAAATGAGGCCGTAACCTTCAGAACTGTAAGAATGGTGGTTGCCTCTGGCAAACCATTCAGGGATTCAAGGGAAACCCAAATTCAAGCCAAAAACAGTACCCATCCCAAAAAAAACTGCAAAAAGCAGCATCTTACCATCATTTTCCCAGATTTTGCCCTGGAAATTCCTCCCATCACCCCATCCGCCTGGCGAAGGCCGAAGAGCTTCCCAGGCTCCAGGCGCAGGGTTTTTTCCACGCGGCTTGAGAGCTCTTGGATGCTGCGGTCACTTCCATGAGCCTGGCCGCTGCAGATTCTGGGGGTCTATGAGGAGTTTAACCATCAACAATGGTGTTTCACCAACCAAAAATGAAGATTTAGTTGGAGATATCATGGGATTTAACCCACCAAGCCTGAAAAGAGGGGAATTGAACGAGGATATCACGGGATATGATTTGGGCTTCTCCAACTAAGGTAGACCCCCATATTTTCCATATATGTTCCATATATTTCCCGACCGGACTCGCCTTCACAGCATCCATCAAGCGCTGGAGCTTCCAGTGGCCCAGCTGCAGCTGTTCTGCAGCCCTCTGGGAGGCTTGGCCCATCAGCTGAGTCAGACCCAGCTGCAGCGCCACGCCACCACCTGGGATGGCATAAAAATGATCCAAAGATGGATGGGCATGCTGGGTTTCATCGTAGTTAACTCAACTACGAGACAAAACTCAAAATGGAACATGACAACTTGTGACAACCTTTCAAAATCAAGGGCTGTATGAATGTGTTTCGCACTGAGGTGGGCTTTGCAAGTCGTGGAAATTGGGTGTTTTCGTGAGAAAAACAAGTGGAAATGATGAGCTGACTGAGCTGACAAGTTGTGAAGTAAAGATAAGTAAAGAAATTCAGCTTCCGACGATCCAACAGCTTCTGAAGTGCCACTTGCGTCTCTTCTTGCCCACAGGCCTTCTCAAATTCCTCGGAAAACACGACAGTTTTTTTCTAGCGGCGGTGTCCCAACATGTCCCAACCTCCAGCAGACGTTGAGTCAGCTCCAAAGACCTTTGTGCTGCAAGTTGACAGACTGTGTGAAATCACTGCTGCATGAGGAAACCCCACACAAAAACAAAGATGAACAATATAAAATGTGAAACAGCAGAGAAAGAAGTTGTCTGTTGGAGAGTTATATGTGTTCAATGTATACTTAAACTGGATTCAAATGTACTGAAATGATGACACAGTTTGAGAGAACAAACAGGTGATTACAAATTGTGCGAAGACCTCAGATAAATTCTGGCTTTTCACAAGGCATTCCAGCACACCAGCTTTGAAATTCCACAAGTGGCTACGAAAAAGACTGAAGAATTGGTGATTTCAGGTCAAGATCTTCAAGTCATTTCTTTCACAAAGATCTTCTTTCATGTCGCAACTAAGCTCCTGGCAGTGGACCCTCGCGCTCTGGTTCCAGCTCTACGCCCAGCAACATGAGTTCGTTGCGGCGGCTACCATCAGGATTCCAGCCCACAATCTCGTGGTCCTGCAAAAAACGTTGCTGGTTTGAACGAAGGAAAACTACGTCATAAAGAACATGTACGTAATATCAATATTATGTATAGATTATGTATAGATTATGTATAGATTATGTATATATTATGTATATATTATGTATATTTTATGTATATGTTATGTATATTTTATGTATATTTTATGTATATTTTATGTATATTTTATGTATATTTTATGTATATTTTATGTATATTTTATGTATATTTTATGTATATTTTATGTATATTGTATGTATATTTTATGTATATATTATGTATATATTATGTATATATTATGTATATATTATGTATATATTATGTATATATTATGTATATATTATGTATATATTATGTATATTACATATATACATAATATTTTTTGTTTATATATAATGGCATATTATGGAACACAACCTCCCAACATTAGCATCTTATGCTTGAAGCCGGACAAAAATCATCAATGTGGTCAATGTGGTCAACCAAAATCTGGAGATATCTGGAGAACCTGCGTTTCGTGTCCTTGAAGGCGATCCATGGCGCAGTGCCCGTGCCGGCTTTGAACACGAAACGAGCCTTCTTCTGGATGTCGTCCCTCTTCAGCTTCTTGGACAAAGCATCTCTGACTGCACCAAAGGTCCAGTTGGTCCAAATCTTCAAAGGAACTTCACCCGCCTCCACCGCATGTTTGATGCGTATCTCGTATTCTTCAGGAGGTGGTGGTGGAGGCTTGGGTTTCGCCACCACCTTCGGCTTCGGCTCGGCTCGTGTCTGTGGTTCGAAACGTGCCGGCACCGGCTGAGACGCCGTCTGCGGTGTCTCCATGCCATCCCTGAAATCGCTGACGCGCGGGGGAGGCACATTCAACTCTTCCTGCAGGGTTGCTCCCAACACTCCACATATCAGCGACGTGATTCTGGAGGAAATCAAGAGGTAAAATATCCACATATCCATGATGTTTCTCGCGTTTTGTGCCAATCATTCATCTACAAAGAGGCAAATTTAAAATATCATTAAAAATATCCACATAATCCGCAATATATCCATGATTGTCCCCCCTTTTTTGCATCACTGGTCCTGTGGTCGGCTCTTTACCGCATAGGGCTGCGGCCGGCCTGGCGGCTCTGTGGCGATGTGCTGCGGGGGGCGCTTCATCTCGGCGTAGGGATGCACCGGTGGCATAGCCTCGTCATGGCTGTCCTCCTCCGTCCGTAGGTCCGCGCCCAAGACCAGGACCTGAAAAAAACGGTCGGAAAAATGTGGGGAAGACTGAAAAAGGAATTGTTTTGTTCCAGAAATAACTGGAAAACATTGGAAATACTTTGAAAAGGAAAAAATTGATCTAGAAATTCCAAATCTGCCAAGGAAAACAAACTGATTTGGGATATGTATGGGGTCCCTGTGAATCCATCTGACAGAACAGCAGCAAGAGCGTCTCAATTTGGCCTGTCGCGTCTCTCCCAAAGGATCATCATCCTGACATTGGCGAATCGACCGCTCTCAGTTCAGGAACGGGTACTGTATGAGTCGAGAATTGCGCACCTCCCCGTTTGTGACAGGAAATCCATCCCTTCCAAAGTGGTCGATATTACCAGTAGTACTGCACAAGGCCGTGGCGGAAGTTTCAAAAATAGGTGACCTGTAGGAGAGGTTGGTTGTTGCGAATCACAGATGGCAGAGTAAATCCACTGATGGACTGAAAGGTGGTTGGAGCTGTGGTTTTTGGAGTAGTTGCAATGGTTGCAGTGGTCAC